CAACGAAATTAAAAATAGATAAAATAGACTTCATGGAAATCAAATATCTCTGCAGTACACTATCAATAAAGTGAAAATATGTCCCACAGAACAGAAGAAAATATTTATAAATCATATATCTGATAAGAATCTAGTATCCAGAATATATAAAGAACTCTTACAACACATAATAAAAAGACAAATAACCCAATTTTAAAAAGGCATTTTTCAAAGTATATCATTGGCCAATAGCACATGAAAAGATACTCCATGTCATCGATCATTAAGGAAATGCAAATCAAAACTATAATGAGATACCACTTCACACCATCGAGAAAGGCTATAATAAAAAAGACAGACAATAAGTGTTGGCAAGGATGTGGAGAAAGTGGAAACTTCATACAGTGCTGTCAGGCATGTAAAATGATAAAGCCACTTTGGAAAACATTTGACAGTTCCCCAAAAGTTAAAAATAGAGTTACCATATGACTCAGTAATTCTACTCCTGGTATATACTCAAGAGAATTAAAAATGTATGTTTATACAAATACTTGTACGTGAATGTTCATAGCTGCATTATTCATAACAGTCGAAAGGTGGAAACAATCCAAATGTCTATCATTTGATGAATGGATGAACAAAATATGGTATATTCATACAACAGAAGTATATAGCCATAAAAATGAATTAAATAGTGATACATGCTACAACGTGGATGAGCCTTGAAAACATTAGAAGTGAAAGAAGCCAGTCACAAAGAACCACATCTTGTACGATTCCATTTATATGAAATGTACAGAATAGACGATCCATAGAGAAAGTAATTAGTAGTGTCTAGTGCAGGGGGCATGGGGTAGTGACAGAGAGTCACTGTGAAAGGATACAGGGCTTCTTTAGGAGGTGATGAAAATATTCTAAACTTAGAGTGTGGTGATGAATACATAATTCTAAATATGGTTTTTAAAACATTAAATTGCATACTTTGGGTGGATTTTATGATATGTGAATTATATCTCAATAAGATGTTACAAAGTAGTAACAATAAAATGATCTTGAATATGAAAAAAGAAGCAATAGCTGCTTAAATCGGTGGCCGGCGAAAAATATTAACAATTATTTTGTATATAAAGAAAAGTCTCTGGAGTTAGATTAGATGAGGTTAATTCTCTCTTTGTGCTTTCTCAATCCACAGTCTGCTCGATCTTCCTCTGAGTCCACAGAGAGAATAAGGAGATAGAATTGTAAAATGTTAGACCCGAACACTCTTGTACTGATAAGGAAACTGAAGCTGGGAAAGTCTGAGCAGCTAGTCCGAGGTTCTACATTAGCTGATACAAGTACTGCAACTAGAAGTTGGGACTCCTGACTTCTGACCTGAGCTATTGCTACTATACCATGCTATGAGAGGTGGCAGGACTCATAAAATGCAGAGGTAATGGGTTTACTTGCAGTGCTTCTCTGAAAGTTCACGTCCAAATCCAAAAGCAGGAGAGGTAAAGAGGCAGGAAAACAGTAGGATGAGTAACTCTTTTTAGGGTGAAGGTATGATCCTCATTTCCAGGAGGTTCTAACAAAGTAGAGAGTCAATAGAAGGTTCATCTCCCTATGCATGTGGATATTTGTTCATAGCTGTGGGACCTTGGATAAGTCAGTGTCCTTCTCTAGAAGGGAGTCTATAACTTTTAAGATAACTTCCAGCTCTGATAGCTAGGATTCTTAGTTCTTAAGTGCAGACAGCTCGTGCATTTAGACAACTGTAAGAGTCCTAGCAATCCTATTTGTCTTTACGAAACCACCTCAAAATGTTTGGCTTAAGCTTATCCCGCCGACAGCCAGACTATTGGAGGTTCTGTTGGAGTTTACACAAGAGATAAACAAATCTGGAATAAATTTAAACAAGTGACTCCCGGCTTGGCTTACTGTATTTCCCCCATCTTATAATTCAGTTCAACATGTATATCTTGATTTTATACCTCCTGCCAGGTGGTCTTAGGTTAAGTTTCTATACCCTATTTTTCTTCCAATTCAGCCAACTGTTGCTGGGGCCTATTTGATGCATAGCATTGTGCTATCTGTTCTCAGGGATGCAGAAATGGGTAAAATATGGTCCTTGCCCAGGAGCTCATAGTCTGGAGGGAGAGGCATACAAAAAAACTCAGTTAACAAAGAAGGAATGAAAAAGGTACAAAATAACTATAAGCTATGTACTGAGGAAAAGGGATCAGGGAAAGCTACACAGAGACCACAGATTTCACCTGGGCCTTGAAAAAAGAGAAGAATTTCACAAGGTGAAGAGAGGAGATATATCTCACTTCTTAGGCTAAGATCTTTGAGGGCAGAAATTATGTCTTGTTTATCAATGTGCTCCTGACTGACACCCAGAAAAATACCTAACACAAGGGAAGAGCCCAAACATGTTTGTTCAGTTAATGAAAAATGAGTGGATTCTGGACTGATATCACAACACAAAGGCAAAGAGGGTGGAAGTGCATCTTTAGGGAATGATAAATCGTCTGATGTGGCTGCTCTGAATATAGTTTATGTAAGGCAATGTTGTGGAGATAAAATGAGATATTTGGATACCAGATTAAGAATGCCATGCTAAGACTTATACTTACTTCTATAGTCAGTACTTAACTATTTCCTCCTCTAAGGAAATAATACCCTTGTTCATCTTTGTATCCTTAATACCTAGAATAGTACCAGGGATTTAGAAGATAGGCAACAAATGGCTGGATGAATGAATGAACCAAAGATTTTTTGAGAAAGGAAGTTATTTATTTCAATCTTCAGCTTTAATAATAAGAACCTCGTACTTTTATATACAATTTTATAGTTACAGAAACACTTTTTGCTATTATCTTATTTAAAATTTTGATACACCAACAAGTTCATTAGGAAAGAAGGACAGATATTATTCTCATTTCCAGTGTACAGAAACCAAAACTCTACTTCTAACATCCTTTCATCTGTCTGAAGGACTGGTGTATGTGTTCCTGCATATGACACTTGGGCTACACTAAATTTATACATAATATTTTATTTCTTCAATAATAAACTAAGCTTACTGTAAATTTGTTACTTTATAAACTTTTTTTTTAAGCTTTTTGACTCTTTTGTAATAACACAGCTTAAAACACAAACACATTGCACAGCTATATGAAAATATCTTCTTTCTTTATATTCTTATCCTATAAGCTTTTTTCTATTCTTAAAATCTGGGTTTTCTTTACTTGAATTTTTTTTTGTTTAAAAACTAAGATACAAACACACACATTACATCTACACAGGGTCAGGATCATCGCTATCACTGTCTTCTACTTCCACATTTTGATCCACTGATGTTGTTCAGAGGCAATAACACACATGGAACTATTGTTTTTTATGATAACAATACCTTCCGGAATACCTTCTGAAAGACCTGCCTGAGGCTTTTTCTGAGGAGGTGTCGCTCTTTTCAGAAATATGTCCATGGTGGTTTGCTTGGCTTATTTCTTTTTTTTTCATCAGAAATTTGCTTATGAGCAGCTAATGAACCATAAACATTCCTCTCTATTAATGAAAACATTTTAGTATTGGGGTCCATATTTTCAAACTTGTTTAAGGAGTTTGTTGAGGTCAACAAAAGCTTCTGCTTAACCCTTCACTGAATTTCCTTGGGGGTTCATCTTTTTCTTCTGCAGTTTCCTTTTCCCTTGCCTCTTCTTTAGCTGTATTTTCCTGTTCCCTTTCCAACAACTCCTCATTAGTCTGTTCCTCAAAAACCATCTCTAAGAGCTCTTCAGTATCACCTTCATCACACCAGATTAAGTTGTTTGCTATGTCAATCACAGCATCATCGATTTTTGCAACCTACTCATCCTTGGCAAATCCTTTAAAGTCATGGACCAACCTCTTCAGTGTCTTCTTCCAGATGCCATTCGTATACTCCCTGGTGACATCACCCCAAGCCAAGGCAAGATTCTTGATGCAGTCATAGATGTTGTAATCTTTCCAGAACTACATCAGTGAACTTCCTCAGTTACAGCAATAGCTTAGGCAAAGGTCCTCCTCAGGTAGTAGGCCTTAAAAGCCGCTATAATTCCTCGATCCATTGGTTGGATCGACGAGGTGATATTTGGAGGGAGAAATACCACTTTGATATTGGGATGAAGATCATCAATAATATGAAGGATATCTGGGAACATTATCAACAATAAGCAAAATCTTGAAAGGAATGTCATCCTGTAAATAGTGTCTCTCCGTTTCTCTGGCATAGCAATTCAGGAGGATGTCTTGGAAGAGGAGCTGGGTCATTCATGACTTCTTATTGCTCCTATAATAAGAAGTGTTTGCTTATTGATATACTTGAAGGCCCTGGGTTTCTCACTGTGCTAAATCACAAAGGGTTTCAAATTGTAGCCTGAAACATTGCTCCTAAGCAAGACTGTTATCCTGTCCTTAAAAGCCTTGAAACCTGGCATTGACTTGGCCTCTTTATGGTAAAAGTCCTTTCAGGCATCTGTTTCCAGAATAGAGAGGTTTCATCCATACTGAACACTGGCAAGCAATTTTCCTCCTCAATCAGCTTATCTAGAGTTCCCAAAAATTCTTCAGCTGCTTTCACATCAGGACTCACAGACTCACCAATCGCTTTAACATTATGTAATGAATAATGATTCTTGAATTGTTTAAACCACCCAGAGCTAGGAGTTAATTCGATATCAGAGTCAGGTCCAAGCTTTTCTTTCTACATCACAAATAAACGTTTTGCTTTGTATGTAATCATGGTGCTGAGAGTGATACACTTTTAAGTCTAGTCTTCAATCCAGGTCATTAGAAGTTTCTCCATGTCTAGGCCCTTTTAAATTTTGTTAGCCTCATGCCTTCAATGAAGCATATCCTTTAACAGCTTCCATCACTTTGTTCTTATTCTTTAAGATCATAGCTATGGTGGAATGGGACGTGCCAGACTGGTGAGCAATAATCATCACTGATTTTCCACTTTCATATTTCTTAATCACTTTTAATTTTGTTTCTAGGTTAATCACTTGACGTGGACTCTTACTGGCAACATTAACGATGGATTTTGTATGCTTAGAGCCCATGATGAACAAAACAACACAAGATTAAATCAAACATAAGAGAAAATGACGTGATCAAGAGATGGTGGTAAACACAAGATGTATGAGGCTGCTGCCAGCCTAACATTGCATACTGTTTTGCAGCAAACTTTTTTTACAAGCAGAAAGAGTACACTCTGAAATAACACTAAAATATATACTATAGTAAACGTATACACTAGTAACATAGTTGCTTATTTTCATTATCAAGCATTATATACTGTACATAATTGTATGTGCTGTGCTTTTATATGACTGGCAGCACAGTAGGTTTGTTTACACCAGCATCACCGCAAACACATGTGTAATGCATTGTACTACCATGTTATGATGGTTATGAAGTCACCAGTTGAAAGGAACTTTTTAGCTCCATTATAATCTTATGGGACCACCATTGTATATATTGTCTGTTATTGACTGAAACGTTGTGCAGTGCATGACTATACTTTGATTTTTATTCTGAGCGATAAGAAGCCATTGGAGAAGAGGAATGACATGATCTGACTTCTGTTTGAAGAGCATCATATGGCTACTATGGAGGAGATAGAGCTTAGGGGGCAAAGACAAACTCGGGGAGCCCCAAGGATATATACACTCCCGTTAGGAGGTTATTATAATAATATGGATGGAAAATGAAGGACTATGAACCAGAGTGCTAGCAGTAGAGATGGTGAAAGTACTTGGATGTTGGACATATTATGAAGATAGAGCTGATAGAATTTGCTGACAGATTAGATGTGGGTATAAAAGAAATAGAAGAAAAAAATTGACTCCAAGAAATGCAAATTAAAGCCACAATATGATGGCACTACTTACCCACCAGAACAGTTAAAATGAAAAAGACAACTCTAGGAAAGAAGGGTGGGAGGAAGGAAGAGGGGAAAAGACAGTATTGGTGAGGATATAGAACAACTAGAACTTTCAAACACTGCTGTTGGTAATGTAAACTGGTACAACCACTTTGGAAAGCTGGTAGTATCTACTTGAGCTGAATATATGCCTCCTAGGTATATACCTAATGGAAATACTTACATATGTTCAGTTAAAAACATATATGTGATTGGTCATAGCGGCATTATCTGTAATAGCTCCAAAATGGAAACTAACCAAACACCCATCAGGAATAGAATGACTGAACAAATTGTGCTATATTTACATAATAGAATATACAGCAATGAGAAGAGACAAACTTAAATTACATGCCTTAGTATGAATTAATCTCATAAATATATTGTTGAGCAAAAGAAGCCAAACACACACAAAAAATATATGATTCCATTTATCATTTATATAAATTTCAAAGATATACAGAACTAACCTATTGTGTTGTAGACATGGGGATATTGATTACTCTTGGGGAGCTAGTAATTAGGAGACATGCAGGCTGCTGGGGTAATGGTCTGTTTCTTGATCTGGGTGCTGACTGTATAAATGTCCTCACTTTGTAAATATTCATTGAGTTATACACTTAAAATTTGTGCACTTTTCTGTATCAGCATTATGCTTCAATAAAGTTTACATTAAAAAGAATAACTCTGAGGTTCTTGGTCTGGGCAACTGGAGGCTAAAGTCATTTACTGAAAGGAAGAAACTATAGGACGAACAGGTTTGGTGAGAAGCACATAAGTTTTGTACTTAAACGCATAAGTTTTGTACACATATGTTTGGCACTTAATAGGACACTTATTAGTATTGTATTGACACTTACTAGTATTTTCATCCAAGTGGAAATGCTGATAGGCAGTTGGTATACAAGTCTGAAGTTTGGGGAAAAGATTAGGTTGGCGACCTAACTTGGGGGACTCAGCATATAGATGATATGTAAATCCATGAAACTGAATGCGATCACCTAAGGTTTAGTGTAGATAAAGAAAACATTTGAGGACTAAACCCTGGGTGCTCCAGCATCTAAAGATTGGGAATTGAAGAGAAACCAGAAAGAAAATTGAGAAGTGGACAGTGAGATATGAAGAAAACCAAGGCAGAGAGGTATCTCAGAGGCCAAGTGGAAAACAGGTTCCAAGGGGAAATGATCAACTGTAACAGATGTTCCTGGTAGGTAGAGTTAGGTAAGGATGGAGAGCGATTCTTGATGGAGGTCGTTGGTGACTTCCATAAGAGCACTTTGAGTGGTGTGGTAGGGACAAAAGCCTAATTGGAGTGGGACTAAGAAAGAAAGTGGGGAAACTAATTAGAGACAATGAGTATAAATAACTCTTTTGATGAGTTTGACTTGTTTTATAGGGGAGCAGAAAAGTAGGGTATAAATAGAGTATTAATTCCTATTGAGAGAAGTGTGGGATAGAGTATTTAAAAGGGTTATGGGGTTAAGAGAATTGATTTTCTTTTAAGAAGGTGGATAATATAACTTGTTTGTATACTTATAGGAATAATAAATAGGGAGGAAATTCTTGATGATGCAGGGGATGCTAGAGTGATCTTATTCAGGAGGCTAGAGAGGGTGGAATCTAACTTAGGGAAACTGACTTAGCTGAGAGCATGGACAATTCACCCATAGTAACTAGGGGAGACAGAGCACATTGGTAGAGATGCAAACAGGTCAGTAGATGTGGAAACTATCTTCTGATTATTTCTGTTTTCCCAGAGAATTTGGAAGCACAATGTTCAGCTGAGGAGAGTAAGAGGGACATGGAATTGGTGTTTGCGAAGCAGAGGTATGAAATAGTCACCTTGGAGATAGCGAAAGTGTGAGTCTCAGAATTGGACAATAGTTTTGCGGGCAACATTTGATAAGTGCATCATACTTATCCACTAAAACTATTACTTTCTGGGTCTCGAACACAGTATTTTCTCCGCATCAGTACAATTGGACTTGTCATTAATCAAAACACCCATTTTTTACTTATGGTGCAGGCAAGATGGAGGAAACCCATTACAGCCTTTCTCTCTCACTGATTGTAATTAAAATCTCTGACCAAAATACAAAACAAAAAACTACCTGAAGACTGTGAAAAATTAATAATAACAGGCAGATTAGGGAGGGAAGTCAAAATTTGAAGACTGCCCACTATGGCAGTGGTGAATTTCCTGGTGGTGTTTCGTTTTTTTCTTCTTTCATCCCCTGCTTTCACCCAAGGGTTGGTCAAACCTGGGAACTGTACAACAGGTGCAGACAGTAAAAACTCCAAGGAAACCTCATCTCTCTATCCAGAGGACTGGGAAAAGGGGCCTTTGTGAGCTGGAGTGTGTGGGAAGAATCCCTACTTTTTTTCTCTCCCAATCCTAACCCAAGGCCCCCCCAACTGTGGAACTGCACTGTTATGGGGGATGGTGTTACTGACATAGTCACCTAAAACTCTGAAGAAAACCCATTTTTCTAGACAGAAGAACTGAAAAAAGGGGCCACTGTGGTATAAATGTTTTAAAATGTAGATTCTATTTTTATTCAGATATGGTGAGGCCAACAGATCAGGAAATGATTGTCACTAAAAAAGATGGTCACTTGAGGCCACACGAAGCCACAAGCAAGAACACCGAGGTCCATCACAGGCAGAGAGGGGCACTGGAGGAGAGCCTTTATTGTAGTTTTTGAGATTAAGGCACAGGAATAGTGACCTGGAGGTGATTGGGAAGCAGGGGCTCAGGATTAGTTAATTTGCATATGAAAGGCATACGGGAAAGTTATCTCTAGGCATTAGCTATTCCTGGGAGGGGAAGTCCTCCATGGTCAGCAAGGCCCCAGATGTCAAAGCATCAAATATATAAACTAGAAAACCTGCTCAAAGTTCCAAATATATAAACTAGAAAACCTGATTAATTACAGTGGAGACTGTGGAGGGAATCCCCTTTTTTTCTCTCTCTTTTCTCTTGCCACTTCACTCCAGAGGTGGTCTGAGTCGTATGGAACTATAAGACGACATGGGAGGCTGTGTGGCAACATGGGAGAACCCCATTTTTCTAGACAGAAGAATCTGGGAGCCAGAGAGTTGGGGCGGGGGGAACATTCCAGGAAGGAGAGAGCTGCGTGTGAACTAACAGAAATCCTGGGCCCATCCCCAAGTTGCAGAACACACCCACAGACGCTTAGTAAGGGCTTTGGGAACTGAACTACAATATGCACCATCATCACCTGAGTCCCAGACTAACCCATGAGTGACACATGAGGGGCAGATCCAAACAGCATAGCAAAAACTGCAAATGAACTGACATTGGAACCGCCACCCATAGAAGGTGAGACAGAATTTGTAGTATGAACCTGAGTTGACTTGATAGCTAACATACAAATAATCAACATGCAGAGGATTTTCACAGGACTCAGAGTTCTATAATATAATATTCAAGATGGCTAGGATATAATCCAAAATTACATACCAAGAACCTTGAAATTCTGATCAATTTTCAAGGGGAAGGAAAATAAACAGATGCTAATTCTAAAATGACCCAGTAGTAAGCATTATCTGACAGAGACTTTAAAGCAACTATTCCACCATCCTCCCTGAGGTAAAAGTAAACACCCTTGAAATGAATGGAAAGGTAGATAGATAGTCTCAGTAGAGAAAGATAAAATTGTAAAACAGAACCAAATGGCAATTATATAAAGCAAAAAAAAAAAAAGATAAAAAAGATATATAAAGATAAAATTGTAAAACAGAACCAAATGGCAATTATATAAAGCAAAAAAAAAAAAAAAAAAAAATTTCCTGGAGGAGCTCAGTAGCAGAATAGAAATGACAGGAGGTGAGGCATGTGGACATCCAGGGGAAGAGGCTGACAGGCAGAGGGGCCAGGGCAAAGCGCTTAGACTCCACTTAAGCCTCCTGGATACTTACTAACCTTCAGAGTTGCATTGAAAACTTCCAGAGTCAAAGATTTCATGGAGTTAGAGGAACAAATTCACTTATTGGAATGGACCCAAATCACTTCCTTTTCGTTTTCTTGGAAACTCCGTCACGTGTGGGTTGAAGGATCCAACAGCTGTTGGTTTTATCCGTGGTCTCAAATGATTGGGGACCATGGGAGCAATGTACTGGCTGTCTTCTATTAACACTTTACCTGTGAGAGATAAAGAGATAAAGCACAATAAGACGTCTATTTTAAGCATTAGCTTTTCTTTATACATATCCATATCACACGTTTTAAACGGTTTTTCTAGCTTGATATTTTTAAAATATTAACTAAATAACAACATAGAAAAACTAATTTATGAACACTCAAATGTTAGAAGTGTATTTGTTAGTTCATATTTTAAGTTTGTTTTTTCTAATTGCAAAAAAATTAATACTATTGTAGAAAACATGAAAAAGACAAAAAAGTAGAAACAGAGGGAGAAAACCAAATTTTACCAACAAATGTTACTATTTAGAGATATTTCCTTTTAGAATTTTTCTACAGTTCTCATTAAAGTAATTGAAATCATACTGTATATCCTGCTTTATTTATACATCATTTTGATAATAACTACAGTGTTATTACAAATTCTTTATAAATTATTCTAATGGCTGCATAATATACCATCATGTAGGTGTTCCATAGTTACTTAACCACTCTTCTATTGTTAGAATCTATATTTATTTTTATTTTTTCACCATCACAAATATGTATTATGGCACATAAAGCTTTTTATGTTCTGGTTTAAAAAATAAACAAACAAAAAAATATGATAATCTCAACTGATGAAGCAAATGCATTAACAGAATTCAACATCCATTCATGATAAAATCTCTCAAGAAACTAGGAACAGAAGGCAACTTCTCTAACCTAAAAAAAGGAGGATCTGCACAAGGGCACCATACTGAATGGTGAAAGGCTGAAAGTTTTCTCCCTAAGATTGGGCACACGGCAAGGATGTTCACTCTTGCCGCTCCTGTTCAGTATGATCCAGAAAGTTCGAAGTAATGCAACAGGCAAAGAGAGGAGAAAGACACATGGAATGGAAAGAAAGAAAGAAATCTGTCTCTATCAGTAGCCAACATGATTGTCTATGTAGAAAATGCTATTAAATTTACCAAAAAAAGCTCCTAGCACTAATTAGTAAAGAGTTTGGCAAAGTCACAGGGTACAAAGTGATAGGATATAAATCAATTGTATTTCTACATACTGGCAACAAGTAATGGAAAAACAAAATTAAATAAATAATACCATTTATAATTGCATCGAAATAATGAAGTACTTATAAATATAACCAAATATATGACAAATATTTATGCTGAAAACTATAAAGCACCAAAGAAGGAAATCAAAAAAGACCTAAATAAATAAAGTGATATAACATGTTCACTGATTGGAAGGCTGAATTCTGTTAAGATATCAGTTCTCCCCAAATTGACATATAGATTCAACACAAGCCCAATAAAAATCCCATCAGGATTTTTTGGTAGGTATCAGTAAGTTGATTCTAAAATTTATATGAAAAGGCAAAGGAATTATAAAGCTAAAATCATTTTGGAAAAGTAGAACATTGTTGAACATTATCTGATTTCAAGACTTACTATACCACTACACTAATAAAGACAGTGCAGCATTGGCAAAAGGATAGATACATAGATCAATAGAACAGAATAGAGAGTCCAGAAATAGACTGACACAAACATGGCCAATTGATTTTGTTAGGGTAATGAGGAAGGATTGTGCTTTCAACAAATGATGCTGGAGTAATTGGACATCATATGCAAAAACGTAAACCTTGACCTATACCTTACACTTTTTATTTTAAAACTTTAATTGATGGATCATAGACCTAAATGTAAACCTGTGAAACCTTAAGAAGAAAGCAAAGGAGAAAAATCTCACCTTGTGTTAAACAGAGTCCTTAAATGCAACATTAAAGCAAAATTCATAGAAGGAAAATTTAATAAATTGGACTATAAGGATAGAGAACACATCAGTGTTGCCAGTATATGAGGGTAGGGGAGGTTTTGACTACAAAGGGGTAACACGTGGAAACTTTTAGGGGATGATGAACCATTCTGTATTTTGCTTGTGGTAGTTACATGACTGTGCATTTGTCAAAACTCACAGAACTATATACCAAAAAGTAAATTTTACTGATGTAAATTATAATTAAGTTACACACAGATATATAATATATGTATGAATTCTTTAAGTTTTTCTCTTCATATTACTATCAAGTCACATCTCATAGATTCTGTAATTTTCTTGAGCCCAAGATTAGGAATGCCTTAATCCCTGTTAACTTTCCATTTTCTCTCATTCTAGAACCTAAAACTTCATCATTTGGAATTTATTCTCTTTGAGTAGGTTACTCTTTATGTCTCAAGAAGGTCCAACTCCTATTATCGAGAGTGGAAAAATAACACACCATCTGCCATTAGCACTTTAGCAGGGATCCATTTATCAGGTTAACTAGCTGTCATTATGGATGGCAGTGAGCAGGCCTCTGAGGGCCAGGACACAGGACAGATGTGCTTTGATGAGAGGAAAGGGAAAGAAAGGCCTGCAGCACACCGCAGCAATAGGGCACTAGAGGCTAGAGGTAGAGGCGGGAGGGCAGTGATCAGAGAGCAGAGCTGAGAGCATGCCAAGAACACACTGCGCTAACTTCACAGCTTTGCCTCCAGCTGGCTCTGGACTTAAGCCAGTCTCTTCCTTGAACTTTTATTTCCTCTCTTCTGAATCTGTCAAGTCTCTACTCACATCTGTTCCATACTGTAACCAAACTCTCCCTCTGTCTCCATTTATTCAACAAATATTTATCATAACTGACTCTAATAACACTCCCTGCTTTTTTTACAATGCTAAAGCCCTTTTATATCTACTTATCTCTTTTGATCCAAAAGAATTAGCCCTCATTTCCAGAGATGGAAATAGAGTCTCAGTAATGTTAAGCGATTTACCCAAGGTCACTCTCTTAATACTGAGGCCTGGACTCTTTCCATTAGCTATACTCTGCTGCCCCCTACTGTGTACTTGGCATTAAATACTTAATTACAAAGAACACCGTTGCTACAATCCAACAGTGTTTACATTTGTTAATTTAAGAAATATTTATTGAGATCCTACTGCATACCAGAAAGACAAACATGGTCCTTGTGCACATGGGGCTTATGATGTATAGGGGGATATACAATTACACAAATAATCGTGATCACAATTTGGATAAGTACTCTGAAGTACAAGGTATATATAAAGACAGTGCTTTATATATATATAAAGGTATAGGTCAGGGGTATGTAGCCTAGTTTGAAGGTTTAGGGCAATTTTGTATGAAGATTCTATTCCACAGGAATAGATTATTTATTGGCTATGGAGG